CACCCCCAGCCCATGGGAGGGCAGGGACACCCCCAGATCCATGGGAATGGAGGGACACCCCCAGCCCATGGGAGGGCAGGGACACCCCCACCCCATGGGAGGGCAGGGACACCCCCAGCCCATGGGAATGGAGGGACACCCCCACCCCATGGGAGGGCAGGGACACCCCCAGATCCATGGGAATGGAGGGACACCCCCAGCCCCCTCCCAGGAGCAGTTCCCCAGAACCTGCACCGAGAGCACCAGGGAAGGCTCAGGGTCAGGACCAAGGTTGGGGTTGGGATCAGGGACAGCATGAGGGTCAAGGCTGGAATTGGGGTTGGGTTGAGGGTGGAAGTCAGGCTCTGGGTCAAGGACGAGGTTATGGCTGGTTTAAGAGTCAGGATTAGGTTTAAGATTAGGGTTAGGGTCAAGTTTAGGATCAAGATCAGGCTCAGGCTCCAATTTAGGGTTAGTATAAGCCTTGGGGTCAGGCTCAGGGTCAGCACTGGTTTACAGGTTGGGGTTGGAGTTAGGGTTATGTTTAGGGTCAGGGTTCAGGTTGGAGTCAGGGTTAGGATGAGGGCTGGGATGAACCTCGCTCTGCTGGGGGTCACCAGGACACCAGGCCTTTCCCAGCCAATTCCAGGTGATCCACCCAAACCACCACATCCAAAGGTTCTGGGGGACCCCGAAGCCCCCTGTGCTGCCGGCCATGGGGTCACCCCAAGCCCCCCGGTCCCCGGCAGTGTGACATGCAGAAGCTGACGGTGGACGAGCTGAAGCGGCTGCTGTACGACACCTTCTGCGAGCACCTGTCCATGAAGGACATCGAGAACATCATCATGACGGAGGAGGAGAGCCACATGGGCACGGCCGAGGAGTGCCCCGTCGACGTGGAGAGTGAGTGCCGGGCACCGGGAATGCCAAACCCCCCCCGGGGATCCCAAACCACGGGGATAGCACTGGTTCCCCCCGGTACCAGGAGAGCGTGTTGGGGGTTGGGGTAACGCGGTGTTTGTCCCACCCCCAGCCTGCTCCAGCCAGCAGATCCGCCAGACCTGCGTGCGGAAGAGCCTCATCTGCGCCTTCGCCATCGCCTTCATCATCAGCGTGATGCTCATCGCCGCCAACCAGGTGCTGCGCAGCGGGATGAAGTAACGGGGTGCCCCCGCCGCCGGGGACCCGCAGCGCCGCCGAGGAGGAGACACCTATAAATATCTATAAATATCTCAATGTACATCCATGTGTGGCCCAGAGACGTGACCCCCCCCGGGGAGGGGGGCAGCCGAGGGGACAGAGCCGCGCCGGGGCCCCGCCGTGCCGGGCGCTGC